AAAAAAAAACAAAAAACAAAAAACATGCAGGAGCTCTAGGCAGATGTTCTTTTTGTCAAATGGTCATAGACACGAGGTATCTTTTCAATACGTGTAAGACAAGGCACTAGTGTGCTTTCCCAGAGGGATGGAAATCTTGCCTTAAAAAAAACCCATCCTACCTTGGTGGAAATTTTCAGTCATTCTCTTTCTTGGACACTTTTTTCCACCATAAAGAAACACATAGCATCTGATGTATGGCTTATGTCCTCCAGTTTCCACCACAGAGACCCAGTAGGCAGTATGCAGGGTTGCCGACTTGGCTTTTGCTGTCACTCAGGACCACTGAGAAAGCCCCAAGCCCTCCCTTCCAGTACAGCTGGGGTGCCTCGCCTTGGGTCAGACTTTGCTCACCTTCCCCTGGAGTGCAATCAAGGCAGACGAGCCAGGACAGAGAGGCAGGCAGACTGCACCTCGGCACATTTCCCGACTTTGACTTCTCCCTGCAATGCTTGTGAGCACTTGGGGAGTTGAACCAGAGCAGCGTGTACTTGTCTTCCCTTAAAGCTCCATTTGTCAAGCAGCTATTGCACAAGTAAAGGTCAGCCCTTTATGTTCTGGATGCTTAACTGTAATCATTACTACAGTGGACAGAGTTTAAGAGGTTTTCAAATTAGTTCTTAAATGTAATGGGAAGAGGGTCAGTCTCTGAGTTAGAATAAAACCCAGTAGCTGGTTCCCCTTCTTTTTTTTACCCAAGTCTATATCTATACACTGTAGAGTCACAGGAGGAACTTCGAAAGCCATTGCAAGCAACAGTTCCTCACTGAATACCTAGTATAGGTCAAACATTTTGTAAATGAATAGCCAAGTTTCTCCTTCAGATGTATTTTAAAATTATACTATTGTATTTTTTATTTTTTTGTCCTTTTGAGACAGGTTTTCACTATGTAGTTCAGGATGGCCTTGAGCTCACTTTGTAACCAGGCTGGCCTTGAACTAGCAATGATTCTCCTGCCTCAGCCTCCTGAGTGCTAGGATTACAGGTGTGCACCACCACACCCAGCCTTACCATGGTGTCTTTTAAAAATTATTTGAATAACAAATTATCTTAATAACATGATTATTGAAAAATGTCAAGCCATACCAAAAGAAAACACTCCTCCTACCTCTTCCTGAGATGACCAACCTTAATTTGCACAATTTTTCTCATCATACACCGCACTTTTTTCCACAACTAACTCTAGTCACTACACAAGGACCATCTCCTCTGTCCTGTGAGCATATGCACAACTGCCTCAGCTTACCTTTCTTCATATCGGTGAAGGTGGGAGGGATCCCACCCTTATCAGGTGAAGGTGGGAGGGATCCCACCCTTATCAGGTGAAGAACAATGAATGCTGTAGAGAACATTCTGATGCTTCTATCCTAGTGCTCTGTGTTTGAACACATTTGCAGGGTCACTGTGGAAAAGTGGGGTTGCTGCATCAGACTTTGTACATATACAATGTTCAACACTTCCAGTTTTCTTTGGTTAGCATTGTGCTCATTTAAGACTCCCAAGTAACAGACGAGATCTGTGCTGTCTTTATTGCTCTCCTGAAAGTGTCAGATTAGGGGATCCCAGTCGCCTGTGAAATCAATAATCAATTGCTGTTCTTTGAGAAGGTGATTTGGTGACACGGAGTAAGTGCTGGTGAGGGTGAGCAGCAGAGTGTGAGGCCATTATTTTCAAGGCCGGGCGGGGTGGCCCTGAATGTCCCCACACGTCCCTTCTGTGTTCTGTGGGATCTGCTAACCTTCGGGCCTCCACCCTCTTGCCCCTCCCCCTGCACTTCGGCTTCCCATTCCCTGTGGCCACAGATCTGGACATAAACAAATAAATAAGGCAACACAATAGCTGCTCCTACAGACTGGTCAAACCGAGTTGGGGAGACAGAACACAGATGGCTGAAAAACAAACTAAAAATACAAGGAGGTATATAAAAAGCAGCAAATAAATATAAATAGTAAGCATCCTTATAGAAGTCGAGGAGCAAGGAAGGAAAACAGTGCCTGGGAGTTGGAGCTTCCGGGCAGGACGCACGTTAGATAGACGTGGAATGCCTGTCCCAGGGCACCAGGCATGGGGGGAGACAGCTAGAAACACTGTGTAAATCGACTGTTAGAAGAAGAGAGCGTGGCAGAGAGGGAAATAAGAGACAGGGGCACTTCTGACAACGGCCAGTGAGTAAGGTTTGTAGTGTTCCTTGAGATTATTAGTGATACTCGATAGAGATTCTTAATCACTCTTGAACGTTGTGTGGTGCAGGTAGTAGATTCAAATGTTAAGAGTCAGAGGAAAGCTTCCAGCGTTCTTGCTAAAAAGCAAGTCGCTTACTTGCAAATGTGTACAACATTTTGCCTCGTGATTTCAGGAGGCCCTTGCTTCTACCCTAGATTGAGAAACGTTTCATGTAGAGAGTATCTGAAAGAAAAGCAGCAATCCAAGATAATTTATTTAGGAAAAACAAAAAGCGTTAGCCAAGTTGGTAGATCACAGTCAGAGTTGTTAGCCAATGCAAGGAAGACACAAGCAATATTTGCATATTGATGAATCGCCAAATTCTGAAGCTAGTCCCAAGCAGGTGGGTAAACAATCTCAGAAGTCTTCTCTGGCCCTCAAACTTCTCCACATCTGCAGTTTATGCAGCGTGCACCCGTGGAGGTAATTCTTTGGCTTTCTGGACCTGAAAGAAGCCAAGCTCTTGAAAATGTGAATCAACAGGATTATTTAGGGGCGTGGAACTGGAATGCACTCCTAGACACTGGATTTTGCTGCAGAAAAGATACTCTTGCTCCCCACCCCCTCCTTTCTTTTTGACAGTCAGTTAATAAAGACTCAACAATAAGCAGCTGCCAGTGATGTCATTTGGGACTTTGTCCACGGAGCTTGTATTTACAAGCTCGGAGCCACTACGGAGCCGCAGCCGGGAGCAGCGCGAGTCTCTGCGCACTCGCCGCTGGGATTCGGATTCGGATTCGGATTCGGATTCGCCGCGGGACTTCGGAGCCGCTCGCTCTGATCCTCGGGAACGCGGTCTCTGAGCGGCAGTCTGCATGATTCAAAAACAAACAGAGGATAACCGCGGGACAAGGCTTTTCAGCGTCAGAGAGTTGTCGAGTTGTGGCAGCTCCCCGTCTGTCTCCACGGTGTGATCGGTGTTTACTGAGGCGCTCGCTGCAAGTAAGACTGGTGGGATTTTTCTTTTTTTAACTCTCATAACAGTTTTTCTTATTTATACAGCTTGCTTTCCTTTTAAAGTGAGATGATGATGTTTACGTTTTTCTGCCGGCTCGCCCGGCAGCCACAAGTATGCATTTGTTCCAAGTGATTACAGCGCGCTGGAGCTGACGGGCGGGCGAGGCGCAGCGCGGAGGGCGCAGAGAGGCGGGTGCGGAATCCGGACCCCGCCCGCCTGCGGCGGCGGAGGGTGGGCTGCCGTCCCCGCTGTTGGTTGTTAAATAAATACCAACTAACCGAACAAAAAACGATTACACCACCTAGAAGCTTTAGTGGAAAATTATAGAGTATTTTTTAATTAAGTGGTGTGCTGGAGGGGAAACCCTTTCCCCCATCTTTGCTGTAGTTTGTGGATTCCTACTACGCACATGTAGTTGTTTATGATTTCTTGTCCTTTCCTTGCCATAAGCTGGCCCCGAGCTGTCCTCTTCCTCCCTTCTCCTCCCCTATCTTCCCTCCCCTTCCCCGTTCAAGTTCATTCATTCGCAGGTGTTTTGTATGGAGTGTAAAATGTTTTCAAATTCTGTTTCTACTCAGATTTTTCCAGTGAACCCCGTTAACTATCTGGAGAAGTGTTCAGTGTTCTGATTTACCTGTTGATTAACTGGGTTAATGTACACTGAAAAAGTCAAACTTTGACACTCGGCTTGTTGCAAGAGCTGCATTCTCTCTGTCGCTTTCCTCGGGGCCCTCACAACGCTCCAAATATTCTCTGCAGGTTAAAAAGGACAGTGAGCTCTGTGTGCCCGCCAGCTCGGCCAGGACTCCCTCTTACCGTCTGGCTCTCGGTCTCCTGTGAGCTCTTCAGGAGAAGAGCTACCTAGAAGTTCTGCTCCTGAACCTGTTAGCTTGCGTTTCTGTGTGTCGCTCGCTGCTGGTTTCCTCCACAGCGCCCCCAGTTCAGGCGTCTACAGCCGGTAGCAGCCTGGGACGATTCCAGCCCTCAAGCCCCGGCAGCCCGCTGAGCAGATGGGTAAACTGTGGCTTCTGGCCTTTGAGCTCCCGCAGGCAAACCTGTGACTCATTCCAGGAGAGGGCTTGTTCCTCAGTACAGCTGAACTCCTCAGCAGCCCAGAGGCACCGTGACTGCCCTCATGACCTCTCTGAGCCAGTACGGAAACATCTTAAAATTTCCAACTTTTCCTCAAGGCCTAAGGTGGGAAACCTCCGCCTCTTAGTACTCATTTTTCCCATCAGAGTACGTTCAGCTCCAGTGTATCTTATGTCTTAGGATTCAGGACTCTCTGTGGTTTTTTTTTTTTGTTTTTGTTTTGTTTTGTTTTGTTTAAAATAGTATTTGTTGTTAAAATTCCTTTGAAAACTATTAGTCATTTATGTTGAATTATACAATTTGAAGTGGCTACCAGAGAAATCTTCAAAAGACAAATCAGGTCAAATAATAATATATTTTAATGTTATCTTAAAGGGTCCTTTTGGTCTGAATCATGTAATAAATTTGTTACTTTCTTTACTGTGAAAAAAAAAAAA